AAATATATTCTAGGCATGATGAAAAAATGTTCAGTTCATGTTCCAATCGTTATAACAAAATTTTGATTTGTTGGTTAATGATTACTAGTCCGTATCCTGAACATTTTTTCTTTAAAACTAGCTATAACAAAAGATGTGATACCTAAATTTTTTTCCGCATAGTTATTTTTAACGATGCCCATCAAGAAAATTTCTACCAGAGTATTAACAAATGTCGCAGCTGATGCTAAAATTTTGATCTATTATGATATGAAATTTTAAAAATTTTTGGGGTGTTTTTTGTTTTTGTTTTATAGTGTTGGGTAGATTTGATATTTGATATTTGAGGTCCAATCAGGATAAATCCGTCATCCGTTTATCCGAGTATCCGAACCGAACTTTATCCCGATATCCGATAATTATTCGGATAAACTCTATCCGGATTGGAAAAGTATGTGTGGATTTTAGCAGGGCTTATAATTTCAACCAAATTTCAGCATCAACCGTTTTCAACATCAGCTGCGATAATAAATTTTCCGGTTATCCGGTAATTTATTATAGCCATATATTTTACCCGGGCACAATCTCTAGTTATTTTTAACGACCTGATTGATTGGAAAAATCATAGGGCATGGGCTAGAAGATTTGCTGCTTTCACAAAATTTATATTATATTAAATAGAAAATGATATCAATTACAAAAAGAACATTTTAATAGTATTACAAATTGTCAAAATATTTTCAGTCGATTAGTTGATAAATTATTTTATTCAACTATCGACTAATCGATTAATTGGCCAATCACCATTTGATTATTGCGGTTCGCAAATTTTGCAGATCATCAAAAAAAAAGAAATAGTACGATTTTTAGGTGATTTCTGATTCCATCGATATCGAGGTATGAAATTTCCATATCGGAGTCGTTTTAAAAAAATCAGAAATTGCTAAAAATCGTGATTTTTGATCTGCTAAATTTACAAATTTTTGCAAACCGATTATAATCAATCAGTTATCGCGGTTTGCAAAATGATGTTACTATATGAACAATTTCCATAGTTGTTTTCATAAATTCCAGGACAATTAAATCGTTTAAGTTACCAAGTCAGAATCAACGAGTAATTCTATATTTGTTTCATAAATTTTGGGACAATTGAATTGTTTAAGTTACCAATATGTTACTGTACAAACGTTGGTCATCATCGGCAAATTTTCAGTCATACCAGAATTTATGAAAATTATCCCAGGAATAATAAACATACGAACTGAATCAAACGGACCTGATGATTTTCATTGTTTTGGATCCATACTTAAACACGATTTGATCTTTCTGATTGAATAAGTCTTTAAAATATCCGTCCGATCATGTCTATGAATATCATTAGTAGATAATATATATATATATAACTAAATTTGAATTGAAAAATAGGGATTGGGATTAAATGTTATTCGATATAATATCGGAGGAGGAGATAATCCAAGCCATAATCACATGAGAATTGGAGGTGATGTGCCAGGTTTTTGGCCGTGCGAAAATTGTGATTATAATTGGACCTCTGATGCAAATCAAAGATGGATTTTACTTGGTATGAAATGTCTAAGATAATGTACAACATTTTTTATCGTGTATTAATCTGTAATAACTAATAGCTGCGAAGGAGCGTGGTGCTGATATCTTTGAGGCATATTCCAACAGGTATGTAAGGCTGCATTGTAACAATTTTTTTAAAAAGCAATAGAACTTTTGTAACACCTTTGTACTTTCTAGCCCTCCATATTGGATGACTAATAGGTGAGTTCTCAAAGAAAAAAATTCCAAGGTAATAAAATTATTTCAAATCTTTCTCGATTTTTGTAGTAACTGCTCTTCTGGAGGTCAAAACAACACCAATAACCTCAATTCCGATTACTACGATAAATTTGCTGATTATCTTACTGAAGTTGTTAAATGGTATAAAGAAGAACAAGGACTTACTTTCAGAACTCTAGAACCATTCAATGAACCATCAACTGGACTTTGGCATGAATTTGGTATGAACACACAATTTTGTCTATATACTGAAGTTGATCGAATAGTTGGTAAACTTTCGCGATTAACTATCATATGTTTTTAACTAGTTAAAATTTTTATTAAAATAATTGTTTAACAACTAGTTTTTACAAAATTTTTATCAACATTTCGATTAAATTAGTATTGATATCCCTTATTATAAGTACATAAAGCACATAACACATTATCTATTAAAACAGGTTCCCAAGAAGGATGTACTTACAACTTTTTTGAAATGGCTGGAGTTATTGACAAGGTACTCTTTACCAATATTAGAAAAAAATAAAAATAACTACTAAAAATACCTTTTCCAGGTCGGTGCTTATCTTAACAATAAAGGCCTCTCAAACTTAACATCTGTTTCAATCGCAGATGAAGGCTTATTTGAAGGAGAATTTGCTACCATTCTTGGAATTTCTGCCTTATATCTTTTTGGCGATCAGGCCATGTCATATGTCAGCCAGTACAATACACATGCTTATTTCGGACTTTCAAGAACACCCCTTTTTGATCTGGCAAAAAAAGGTGGTAGGAGACTTTGGATGAGCGAATGGTATGTAATGTTTACTGCACCAATAATATTTTATAAATATTGTGAAATTATGCTAAGTTTTTTTTTTCGATTGAATGGTGGAATAGGGGATCTTGGTCATCAAAAGATATGTCTGCAAGCATTAAACTTTCTGAAGAAATTCTGAACGATATGAGAAATCTTAAGGTGAAAAAGACAACAAATATAGTTAAAGAAATATTTTATTTATTTGATACGGTTTATAACGTAACTATTTTTTATTTAAAAAAGCCTGTTGCATGGAATTATTGGCAAGTAATTGAACATGTAGGTTATTTTTCTTTTATTTTGTTCTAGATATATATTTTAATCCTGAAATATCAAGGTTTACTGTATACATTAGGCTCCTAATGGTACTATTGGTAATGACTTTGGCTTGATCGGTGTAGATTTTAGTAATTCAACCACTCAACCAGACATACGTCTATCATTTTATGGATTTGCTCAATACACTAAGTACATTCGCCCAGGTATATAGTTACTCACGTATTTTCGTATTAACAGTAAATTTTTTACTAAAATGCTATTTTAAAATTTCTTTAGGATATCAAATCATTTCTTCTTCTGATGATAATACTCTTGCCGCACAAGATGCTAGCAATAAAACGCTTGTTTTAGTTTGCACAAATAATAATGATGCATCAGAAATTTGGAATATTAATGTTGCTAAGTTTAAAATCAGCTCATTTAACGCTTACCGTACATCTAATGACAATGAAACACTTAAGTTACTACCAAATATATGGAATATTACTGATGGTATTTTAATTTATAATAGTACAGCTAATTCCATTACTACTTGGGTCTTTAATGTTACTCAATGATAAATTAAAGGTGCTAGAATAAAAGAAATTGGTTAATATACTCAAAATTTCTATATTAACTTTTACAAGAAGTGCTATTACTTAATAATTTAATATAGTCCAGTGCTTTGTACCTCAAATAGCTATGGTTAAAATTTTTTTTTTACAATTTAATTTTTAATTTTATAATTTTTGTTAATCGGATTTATAAAATAAATTATTTTAATTATTTTATTGTTAAAATAAAAAATTTTATTAATTATAACTTTTTTAAAAAATATTTATTATATAATTTGCTATAGTAATTTATATATATATATAGTAAAAAAATCAAATTATCTAACTTTAAAGCTTAATTTCTTTACTTAAATAAATATTCTTTATATGTGGGTTTTTAGATGAAGTCGATAGTTAATTTTAAATACTTAGCTTAATAAATATTATTTATACTCAAATAAATAAATTAACACAAATGAAATAAAATTAAATGCAGATGTTTGTGAGCTTAAATAATTTATTTTGAATACTAAGATACTCATGTATTAAATTATCATAAATACTGTAAAATGAAATTAAAGTGCTCATTTAAACATTTATTTTATATATATATTTATACTTACGTATTAGGCTATATAAAGTTAATTTTTTGGTTCTCATAACATAAAAAAAAAAAAAAATGATCCGCCCGCCCGGACTTTTATTTAAAAAATTTTAAAATTTTAAATTATAAAGTTAGAATTTTATTTTATAAGCTATAACCAGATTTTGTTCAAATCTATAACGATAACAGTAAGAATTCCCATTTTATTTTGGGTTAAACCGGTTTTGTATAAAAAAATAAATCGGTTCCAACTAGGCATGAGACTGGACGGGCTGTTAGACTAATTAAACATAAATTATTATGTATTATTGCCCGTTTATTATTGTAGACACCATTCAAATAATTAGATTATTACTCGTATTTTTTTCTATTTAAAGATTCTTTATAATTTTGTTATAAAATTAAATTAGAGGATATCCGGATCGCATCCCTAACTCTAAACAAATATCCAAACCTGTATATTATTAGAACTAGTGATGGCAAACAAAAATTTTTATCATACACATGATTTTGTAAGCATAATTTAATGCACCTTGCACAGGTCGAAAGATAAAAAATCAGGCACAAATCAGGTACCCGATTTTAAACTGATTACTGCCTGATTACCACCTG